CCCCAAAACCCCAAAACCCCAAAACCCCTTAAGTTAGATATCTATAGTGAATTAATGAAATTAAAATAAAATATATTTCCTTTAAGTAAAATTCAATTCGATCTCAAACATTTTTCTAATTTCAAGAATACGCTAGAGAATAGATAAAGAATAAATATTCTCTGCTTCTTGGTACAATATTGATTGATCTATTTTTATTAAGCTTGTACTAATTTTCAATTAATCTTTCTATTAATAGCATAGTCTAGTTTCTGCTTATTAAAAGTTATCTTTCGTTGTTCATTCATGCAGAACGTTTTCATCTTTTTGTTGAAATAATCCTCAAAGTCTTCTTTCGCCTGCAAATTTATAGATTCTATGTCTTATCCAAGATCTTTTTGTTTAGCCAATACCTTTTTCAGCTTATTAATAAGTCTATAAGACTTTTTATCTTGCTTGTTGAAGCCCTTTTAAGTTTGGATAAAATCGTTGCGAAGCTCCTAATACTGCTATTAAATTTCAGTAACGTCATTTCTTTAAAACTTATGTAATGAATCTCTTAGGGAGTGAAGGGGGTCATAAAACTTTGATTAAGACCTCCTTACATTTGATTAGACATGCTTTCTTTGTGAATTTAAAGACTTGAATGTCTGATTTGGATCAGAATCTCCAAAAATATGAGTCTTATTACTGTAAAATGAAACACCGAGATCTTTTGGTCTGTCATCGTCAATTATTTAATCCATACCTAATTATGAGCCCTCAAAGTTACCATTCTTACAAGGTTTTCCTTGTCTGTTGGAATCATTTCTAGATTATAAATGTCGAGATAATTAATCCTTGAACAAGAATCCTTTATTGTTATAATGTACTTTATCTCTAATCTCTTAAGATGAGTATAGCTATCTCCCTCCCATAAAACTAGTGCTTGATCTTTTGTGTACCTATTTCTTAGAAGCTGGTTCTTCCTAACTTTCATATGCATTAAATATAAGTTCATCTTAGGTGTTTTGTTGGGCTTGATATGGCTTTGTTGGTTCTATTCTTTTACGATCAGTTGAAGTAACAATTCTAGAATTTCGCTTAATATTTTGGTAAGGATTTTAATTGAATTGCTGCTATGTCTTATAATGATCTTATTAGGGTTAATTCAGTCTACCTCTCGCAGTTGATTTTTCTTCTGCTCTTAATAGATTTTCTTTGCTATTCTCCAAATAGGAATCATTGAAAGTTAACTTTCTTTGAGTTAGTGGCTCTTCTTTTATTTATTGACTAAGATAAGGATTATCTTTAGAACCAATTAACAAGGACTAAGTTCTTCTATCGAAAAACTACTTGGATTCTGTATTAGCTGCCTCAATCATACTTTAAGTCATAACAGAATGTATATGCCTCATCTTCCTAGCATTATACTGCTGCATTAGCATCATCCTAGATAGATTTCTTTGAGTAAGAGAATATTCATCATTATTAGATCTTGTATTTTTCCTTTAATTTAAATCGCTAATTATATTCTCTGAGAAAGGATTAAGATCTTTCAACTTGACATTAAATTTATCAAAGTAGTAGCTCATAATCTTTTCATTTTACAAGGATGCCTTAATGATACTCTTGTCTATCATTTCTCCACGATTTAATATTGGAGACTCTTCTGTATTTTCTTTTCATTCACTTTAATATCTCTTCTTATTGTTTAATGTCTTTTTATCTTCTTTCTGTACATCTATTTATATCTTCGAGATTAAGGGAGAGTTTGATCTGGACTAAGATTTATTTTAAGATTTTTCATCATTTTAAGTTTCTTAGTCTCGACTGTTTCTTGAAGTCTTAGGAGAATCCAACTACTACGATTACCTTATTTCTATCAAAGCCAATTAAAATTTTCTTTTCCTTTCTTTTTCCTCTTCAATTTTCTTTTATCTCTCTTTTTCTTCTTTCAGTAGTTATTATATTTTTTCCTTTTCCTTTTTCTCGATCTCCTTTTTACGTTTTCACTCTTATTCGAGCTGATCCTTGTCTCTTTGTAAGAAAGTAATCATTTTTTTAAATAGCTATTTCTTAGCTTTTTCATCGCTTACCTGGTCCTTTTTGTTAATGAATATCTTAATGGCATTTTTCTTAGCCTAGTCTTTAAGAAAATCTTAATACTACTGTTCACTCATTTGTCCTAGATCTAATAACTTAGCCTAGGCAAGTTAAATTTTTTCTTCTTCAATCATTTTCTTATTGAAGAAATACTGAAAACGACCCATTTTACGAGTCTTCCCAAATTTTAAGTTTGCCAGTACAGATTAAGCACGTTCTCTATCTCCATCGTGAATAGCATTTTATTAAGAATACATTCAAAGAAAGGGTGTATTACTTATAATATCCCGTTTTACCTTGTGTTAAACCGGTAAGTTATGAATTATCATAGATTGGCTATCAGACTCTGTAATCCTTTGAGTCTTATGTTTCTTGATAGAATGATCTGAAATTCCTTCATTAATTGTCTCCATTCGAGTTATTTATTTGCTATTTTTTTATTCTAAGTCCTCAAATAGTTTATTAATCTCTTATAAATTTTTTGGAAATTCGACTTATTCTCTTTTTGTGTTAGCGTCCTCGTTCTCCTCCTTTATCATCTTATTTTTCTCTTATTGCAATGGTTCTAAAAATAATATAAACATATGTCAAACATTTTTCTTACAATTACCAAAGTTTTTCTATGTAGAGCTCTAACTCTATGAAGCCACTCCTCTTGACATCTATGCAATTTTTATAGATCTCTTTTCTTCTGAAAGTATTTTTTAGTGCAAAAGGATATCCTTATGTCTAAGAGTATTACTACTGATATCCTTAGGGTCAATTATTTTGTCAAAAGCTTTAAAGTAACGCTAATCTATCAATTCATGTATCGCAGTTGACCCATCTTATCTTTCAATATTCCTAGATCCAAAAGATCTTTTTTTTTAGTCATAGTTTCTCTATGAATCGTCGCTAGAATCAAAGGAATCAAACGATCCCAATATTGACATCTTTTTGTCTGGATTCGATATTTATATACTTTTTAAATCGTTTTTAAGCTCATTAAGCATATTTGCTTAATGTCTAATTGTTCCCTTTTATTTCTGCCTATGATCTTAATGTCATGTTTCGGCTGTTTTCCTCTTGAGTATGGCCTACTCAAAATCCTTAAGAGAATTTATCGATGACCTCTTAGAATTTACATTTGATGTTCTAATGAGATCAGATGGAATGATTTATCTTTGGACTTACATTATTACTGATAATAATAATATACTAATCAAGCTATTATTTTAGACTTACTCATAAATTATAAATCCTTTTTTTATCTATTGAAATTTTAATATAATCATCTTTATCCCCTTGAATGCATTTTTTGGGGTTTTGGGGTTTTGGGGTTTTGGGG